TATGTAGCAACCCCTCCTCCCCTCCTGGGCGTGTTTACACAGGCTCTGCTCATGGGCTGGCCTGGCCTTGAGGTTTCTGGGGAGGCAGAGAGGCAGGGACTTTGGGGCCTTAGTCACCATTCATGGTATCACCTCATCTCACTTCCTGTGAGGGACAGGGCCTGGCTGATGTGACCCCAGCTCCCTCCAGTTCAGGGCTGCCTTAGGGCTCCTTTTTGCCTTTGGAACTGGGGGCTGCTGGCTGAGGAGGGGTCAAGGTGAGTGCCGAGAAAGCTACCTGGGGAAAATGGACCCAGGCTGGGGGTGGTTGAAAGTCTCCCCAAAGCCTGGCTCCTTGCGCTCAGTGTCAGGAGCAGATCACTGGGGAGCCAGGTGTAGAGAGCCTTCCTGACCACCTAACTGCCAGCCCTCTCCCTCCACAGCCTCTGCACACCTCATGTTCCCCCCACCCATCTTGCCAGCCCTATCCCCTCTTCTGGCAGAGCCAAGTGGGGGAAAGCAGCAGCCCTCAGGCCTTGGGATGTGATGATAAAGCAAGCCTAGGGCCAGAGTTTGGGGAGCAGAGAGAGCAAAGAAGTTGGTCATGTCTGATTTCCAGCCCTTCCCGCTTGAACTTGACTTCCCAGGTCAGGGAGTGGGTCTCATTCTGGCTGGTGGAGTGCCCAGAAGCCTGTGTGGATGTGTGTGCCTGCTTTACCTGCCTAGACTGTTTTCTGGCTCAGCTGCAGCAATGTCGGCAGGCCCAGTGTCTGCCCTGTGTTCCTGGCCTCCCTCCAAGTGCAGGGACATGCGTGCTGGGCCCAACATGATGATGGTGTGAAGGGCAGGAAACAGTCCTCTGAAGGAGTGGGAGGTGGACAGTCTGCCCCCGCCAGGCACCGTCACCTGGCAGCTTCCCCAGACCAGGCAGGGCTGCCATGGTGCTAGCTGCAAGCCCATCAGTATTGACCGTCTTGGTGCTCCGGAGTCCCAAGTTTCCCTTTATCAAGTCTGACAAGAGAAGAAACATGGGTGTGCCTGGCCCACAGGGCCTGGTGGTGACGGACCTCCCCGCTCCCTCAAGCTCTGTATGGCTGCAGTGTTGTACTAGACTTTGTTCTTGCTGTTCTCATCTCAGTATTGCCTCCCTTTCACTTTCACACTTCGTCTCATTCCTGTTGTCACTCTCCCTTGAAATGAATAAAGTCTCCCCATCTCCTGCTGTATGAGTTGGGCAGAAACCACAACCTGTAAGTCTTTCTCCTTTCCTTTGGAGCTGGGGCCCAAGCCCTCCCCCAGCCCAGCAGCATCAGCCTCCTTGGCTCTGGAAAGAGCCTGACTTGACATGAGCCCAAAGCCAGGAACAGGAAACCTCCCAGCCCCAGCAGTGGCGATGAAACTTCGGTGGTCCCAGACTTTCCTTCTCAGCCTGCTGAAGCCACTCAAGCCTTGTTAACCCTGATCTGCGAGCAAGCGCTTTCCCCTTCTCCCCACACAGTGGGTCTGGTCCCCGGAGGCTCAGGTCAGCTCCCAGGATGTATTCCAGGATCCTGCTCTTCCGGTCCCAGTCCACAGCAGTCCATCAGGAACAAAGGAAAATGGGGCGTGTTCTCCTGGGAGATGAGTGTAGCTCAGGAAACCATAGCAACCTTCTCATCACTATTGACATCCAGAACCCATGTTTCGGAAAACACCTCTGGGTCCATCCACCACCCCTGTTCTGTCAGTTGTCCCTCCAGCTCTGGACTGCTTCCCACACTTTAAGACAAGCCCAAACAGTTGAAACCAGACTTGCACAGTAATATCTTTAGATTTCACAGCAGATTTCACGCTTAACCCTTCCTGCCCTTGTCTCTGCTCTCCTTTCATTCAGCTTCAGGGTGAAACCCAGACCTGTGAGAGAAGAAGCAGTGTATTTCCTTACTTTTCATCCCAGCCAGTCCCCATGAAATCTTAGCCAGAAGTTTAATTTAGCATCACAAGAACCCCTCATTTTCAGTGGTGTGGTAGTGACCGGGGGTGGGGGAGGAGGCATGGCAGTGGGAAAAGGACAGGTGACCTGTTGGAATCCACCAACATCTGGGACTGCATACCAGTACAGAGAGGCAGTTTTGTTACAGGCTCCTTTAAATCCAGCTAAAACATTACCCCCCGAAAAAGCATTCCAAAGTAACCAGAATTTGCGAATACCTTGCATTGCACACGCTTTCATAGAGGCGGTGTTGTAATTTTCACATTTAAGTCCAGGTAATATGATACCAAGTAAAGGGTAGGCTTCAACAAGACAGATTTATATACAGTGGGGCCCCTGGCCTGCTCTTTTATGAATGAGGGGCTGGGCGAGTGCTGGGGTGAGAATTGACGTAATGAGTCAGGCAAGCTCTTTGTGGACACTGGCCATTTTCTTAGAAAGCAGAAGGAAATGTCATTGCAGACTCCTGGAGGATCAGCACCCAACCTGCTTGCAGGTGGAAGGGGCTACATCACTTCCTGCCGTCCCGTTCCTTAGGCTCACAGCACACACTTGCCTAATTTAGGCATGTGACTGAGTTACGCAAGTGGCCCTTCCAGAGGCCTAATGATGAAGGGGTTGAGGCTCTGCTGCCCCATTTGCCAGGAGCTCGCATTTGAACAACTACCGTAGAGGTAGTAGCAACAGGAAAGTCATACCAAGAACCAAGCAGAATGGCAAAGATGCAGGCCGCCTGTAATCCTTAGTGCCTGCCAGTCGGGTGAGGGGACCAGCTGTTGAGGCCTGGCAGGTGAGGAAAGGCCACGTCAGGTCAGCTGGTGGCTCACCTCTCTGAGCCCAGCCCAAATATAATGTGCACACAGATACATGGACTTTTTCCAACCCTGAGCCAGAAAGGACTTGGCTGTTGGAAGCACAAAATCTCCAAGAATTTTAAGTGTAGGCTCTGCTCTCCTCTCTACAGCAAGCTGAGGCTCCAGGCCTTAGGGTCATAGGAACTGACTGGGACTGGGGCAGGAGTTGAGTTCGCTCCACAACCCATGGAGTCCACATTCTCCTGCTTCCAGCCGATCTGCACCCCTACCACCACGCTGCCGTCTGGCTGGCCCATGCCTGGAGCAGTCTTGTCCAGCACATTTGCTCAGAAGGGAGAGGAGAGGGGATGCACCAGAGTGATGGGAGCCCAGGGCTGCAGGGCAGCTCCCCCAGGTGGAACCCAGAGGTGGCCCCTCCCACTCCTGGGAGAAGAGAAGCTACACCCTGCAATACAAATCCAATTAAAACACAACCCTCCAACAGAGGATGGGATGGGGTGACCAGAGGCTGGGAAAGGCAGGGGAGGGGAATGAAGAGCAGGTGGGTGGTGCAAAAATACGGTGAGGAGTAAGTTCTAGGATTCGACAGTGCAGTAGGGAGACTACAGTTAACAATTTATTGTATGTTTTGAAATAGAAGAATTGGAATGCTCCCAATACAAAGAAAAAAAGGAAAAGATAAATGCTTCAGATGATAAATGTCCTTAAATACCCTGACTGGTCATTACACTTTGTAGACATGGATAAAAATGTCACATGCAGCCCCCAAATATGTACAACTATTAGATGTCAATTTTAAAAAGGAAAAACAAAAAAACCCAGAACATTCCTCTAATTAGTAGCTACATTAGGGCAGGAACTGGAGAGAAAAAGCAGCAGCCTCCTCACTGGCCATTTCTCTTCTTGGTCAGAGGCAGCGAGCCCAGGGCCCCACCACCAGTGTCTGCCTTTCAAGATAACCTGTCTCACCTAATCCTGGAAAGACTTGTGAGAAGCTTGGGGTGGTAAGAAAGTAAGCAAGGAGATTCTCCATCTCTATCTCTGGGATTCCTGCTTCCTCAGATGTAAAGGTAGAATCTGAACACCACCTGAACTGCCACCATACAGTGCTACTGTCTTCGCTAGCAGACGTGGAGGTCTTGCATAAACTTAACAGAAGTGCTGTTTAGATGCTAACTGACTGAGGCATCTAGGAGGAATCTTCCCTGCCAGAAAGGGGATCTTGGGGATCCACCTCAAAGCTTAGGGCTTTCAAATAGCCGAAAGGCCCAATTGTCCAGCCTGGCTGGAGTAACTACTCCCAACTCCTACCAATAATTCTCTGGAATTCTTAGGATCTTTTTCTTGCCAAAGCCCAAACAAATTTCAGATCTGAAAATTCTTCACAAGTAGAAGTCATTATTAATTTCTATTTCACCTTTCAGAATGTGAACTGAATTAGAAAGGCCAAGTAACTTACCTGCAGTCGCCATCCAAACAGGCCAAGAGGACAAATGACATTTCTAATCCCTAGCTATCTTTTTACTGTATCAGATTCTCAGAGACTAATTCAGAGACTTGGTGTGGGGTCTGGGAATCTGTTCAGGTGAGAGAGAGAACCAGACCTGGTTTCAGGGCTCCCAGTGGGCATGTGGGCTTGGCTGGGCTTACTGCATAGGGAGGCTGGAGGAAAAAAGCACCAGCAGAGTTAGGCCTGGGAAGGAAGAGACATTTTTCCAGCAACAGATGGCCCACTGCTCAGCCCTGGCTCCAGAATGCAAAAGAAATCAGAAATAGATGCTCAGCAAGAAGCATGTGCCACCCGCATCATGCCTCATGCAGCTGCCATAGCTTTAACCAGGAAAACACACACCTTACCCCACTTTACAGACCCTCCTGAAGCACAACAGATGCTAGGGGAGGCGTGGGGGGGGGAGGGCAGATGGAGGAAGAATGAAAAGCAGTCCAAAGGGTCATCCTCTCACTTGGCAAGGACAGAAGAAAGCTATACCCAGCAGTGTCAGGGCAGGAGGCTTCACTCAAGCCCTGTTCCTCCCAGGCTTCAGAGCAGTGGGAATTTACCTCAGCGAATAGAGGGAGATCTTACAACACATTTCACAATCTAGATTTATGTCTTGAGATGCTACCCCAAGGCCAAAAGCTTCTCGGTCTCTTCCACTCTGCCCACTTCATTCTTCAGGCCCTCTCTTAAGGGCCTAATCCCCTCAGCATCCTAAAAACAATGACCAACAGTAGGGGGAAAAAAAGGTAAACCTTTATTTGGAAAAAGAATTTAAATAACCATTTAAAACCCCATTTCATTTTCAAAACAGAAACAAAAAAGCAAGGAAAAGATAATCTATCAAGCACCTGCCCTCTGCCCTCATTAGCTGTTTTAAACCTGCATTTTTCGGCAGAAGAGAACAGTGATGGGCCCTAGTCCTAGGACCCCATAGGGCACTGTCTTGAGACTCTTTTAGGCAGTGTCCAGAGGACGGACAGAATGAATGGTGGGGTTTGGACAGACCTGGGGCTCAGACAGGCACATGCCCAGTACCCAGGAAACAAAGTTTAAAAATATACACACATAGAAAATAAATTCCGTAGAACCTAGGCATGGAAAGCTTCTAACCATGAATGCAGCAGCACAATTCAAACTGGGTCTTTGGCTTTCAAAAAAAAGGAAAGAACCTTAACCTCTGGCTCACTGTCCTGAACTCAAGTCTCTTGGCCGCTGTCTTCAGTCCCACTCTGGAGGTCGAGGGGAGCAAGAGCAAGTCAAATCTACCAGGGCCAGCAACTACTCTGACTTAGGGAGATCTATGGAGGGGCCGGCCCAGGATCTCCCAAGGCCACACCCCAAAAATGAAAGATTAAGGGATGCAGGTGACACGGTGTGGACTAAGGAGTCCCCTGAATAAGCCAGGGTACCCCTGTATTAGGGGAGGGAAAGCAGAGGCATAAGCAGCTGAGGCCTTGCTGGACAGAGCCAATCCACAAGCACTGCCACTCCAAATTCTTGGACCAGTTTTGTCCAAGGCCACCTTTCTGCTGAGGCAATTTGGTCTGAGCTAAATACCAGGGTTTTCTAGAAAGAAAATGGAACGGAAGTGGGAGAAGGGAGGCAGCAGAAAGTAAACGGTGGTGGGAGGAGAGGAACAGAAAATTGCTTCTTAGGAGTGCAGAGGAAAGAGAATCAGCTTAGGTGTGAGTCCCAGCTGGGGCAGCTGCAGAGTCTACCTGCTCTTTCCCCTACTGGAACTCCTACCCTTGCCCTAGTTCTGCAGGCTGCAGGGTTCAGTGAAACAAGAGTTTTCCTGAAGGCTCTTTGTCCTCCTCATCCTTAAATAGTTTTAAACCTCATACCACTTACCCTAGCCCTGTGAACCCCATATAAGTGTTCAAGCTTCTGCCTTCCCCAGGGAAGTCTGGAAAAAGGGATGGGCCATTGAGAAATTGCACCAGGTCTGTGGGGAGCTCTGGGTTGGAGGCACAGGGCCCGCTGGGGCAGGTAGCACGTCCCTGAATCTGCCACTCCAGGATGTGGGCCCCATTTGTTCCCACAGCCCAGATGCCAGGCCTGCTCTGGTTGGCATGATGAATGCGTAATGAAACACAGAGGCTAAAAGGAGAGATGGGGCCATGCCCTGCTGCTGCCTGATCATACACAAGTACTTGGGTCAGACTCTGCACCTACCCCTAGGCCTGCAGCACCCATGTGAAAAGTGGACTGGTCAGAGGCAGGCATGGCTGTGCAGAACAGTCCCACCCCAAGAGGACACACGCATGATATGCACATCTCACATGTGCATGCCTGGCAAGAGAGCCCAGAGGTCCTGAAGGCAGGGAAAATGTCGGGTCAGAAGGTACACAGAGAAACGGCCTGAAATCAAATAACCAACGAGATCAGTAACTCCCACAACCCTGGTAATTAAAAATCAAGGGGGAGCGCTGGATACATGGAAGGAAAGGGGAGTCCCCCTTCTGCCTCTCCCAGGGCCACTGAGTATGTGGCACAGGATTAGGAAGAGGCTGGGGTGAGGCAGGGACCACAGGCAGAGAACATGGCCAGGCCTGGAGAAAATCTAACTATAAAAAAAGGGAACAAGGAGTGGGAGGGGAGGGGATGTAAGTTTCTTGGATCTAAGTTTCCAGAAGCATGGGATTTTTCCAGTCTCTGATCCAGTAAGCTCTTCTGGAAGAGAAGCTCTCTTCCCTTGGGAGCCCCATCATGGGGCGGTGACTTCCATCCCGAAGCTGGCTAGCAGGCAGAGGTGGTCTGAAGAGCAGAAGGGGTTAGGTAATCCATTGGCAGCCCAGAGAATCTCTTCAGAGAGAAGGGAGAGACGGCCCAGGAGCTTGAGAGTTCCATCTTGATACAGCCTGTGATCTGGGGCACAAAACAGAAGCCAATGGGTAAAAGCAGCCACAGCCACACTGCACAGTCCTTCTGCAAGCTGCATTCCCGTGGCTGCCCTCCACCCCTCACCTCCTCCTGCAGCCTCTGGGGAGGTCTTATTTTCTCAGAGATATTGCATAATACCATCAATGAATGAAGACTGGTGAGTTCTGGGGGACTGGGGCAAGCTGGAGAGCCCAGCATTACAAGATCTTTTGATTTTTCTAAGAGAATTTGGAGATCCAGCTTTTCTTTTTTTTTTTGAGATGGAGTTTCGCTCTTGTTACCCAGGCTGGAGTGCAATGGCGCGATCTCGGCTCACCGCAACCTCCGCCTCCTGGGTTCAGGCAATTCTCCTGCCTCAGCCTCCCGAGTAGCTGGGATTACAGGCACACGCCACCATGCCCAGCTAATTTTTAAAATATTTTTAGTAGAGACGGGGTTTCACCATGTTGACCAGGATGGTCTCGATCTCTTGACCTCGTGATCCACCCGCCTCGGCCTCCCAAAGTGCTGGGATTACAGGCTTGAGCCACTGCACCCGGCCAAGATCCAGCTTTTCTATATAAAATCTGATTTTTTTTTTTTTTTACCCAGGCTATTGGGAAAAAAACAGGCTGTTGCCCAGGCTGGAATGCAGTGGCACAATCTCGGCTCACTTGTAACCTCCACCTCCTGAGTTCAAGCAATTCTCCTGCCTCAGCCTCCCAAGTAGCTGGGATTACAGGTACCCAACACCACACCCAGCTAGTTTTTTGTATTTTTTAGTAGAGATAGGGTTTATCATGTTGGCCAGGCTGGTCTCAAACTCCTGACTCAAGTGATCCACCCACCTCAGCCTCCCAAAGTGCTGGGATTACTGGTGTGAACCACCACATCTGGCCAAAAAGAAATATTCTTTACACGATACAGGCATGGGGCTGGGAGACTGCTGCCATACAGTGACTACTACTGGTATGGGGAGAGGCAATAGAAAATAAAGTCTCTAACCTAACTAAGTCCCCCACTCAGTGGCTGTCATTAAACAAATCCAACCACTTCCTAGATCTCTATTTTTATCTTTAAAATGGGGATTGGGAGTGACTGTCCTACCTTCCTCTCTTTAATGCTGCAAAGGTAAAAAGAGACAAGGCAGGCAAGCAGGCTACAGGGAGAATGATAAGGAAGATCAGTGTAGGGGAGGTATGAAATCTGCTCCTTTGCTGGTTAAATCCCAGCAGCCCAAGACATGCTACCAAATGCCTGACCTACCATTAACTGTTCCCAGGGACCTTGGGGTAGAGGAACCCAGGATCCATCAAGCTTACCAGTTCTATTCCCATTCTCATAGGACTCAGCTGAGAAAAAGATGTAATCTACTGTCGTTCCAAGACCCAACGGCATTGTAGTGACCTCTGGGCAGCCACGCTGGGGCAGGAAGTGCGTATATACTGAGGTCAGGTGGAGGCAGTGCTGGATGGTACCTACAGTCCTAAAAGGGAGGGAGGGGAAAATATTAGTCAACAAAAATTATTAAATTTTCCCTAGGTCACTTTCTCTGTGGGTTTTATGAAGATTTTTTAAAGGGATGATCTCAAAGACTTGATCTCAGCCAATTCCTTCCCATGTTAAGAAGAGGCTAGCAGTCTTAGCTAAAATTAGCCTAGAAACACACATTTGTACTGAGACTCCCTGACACTCCTTATCCCCCACTATCTGCTTGTGACCTGGTAAAGTATACCCAGTGTACCCCTGTCTGGGGCCCAGGGCTCTTCTGTAAGGCTTTACCCTCTGAAGAAAGAGTACATGGCCTTTTCACCTGCAGGAACATGGGTGGGTCACCACTGGCTTCTGCATACCTATATGACTGACCCTCTATAAGCTTAGCAGATATTAGGGGGAAAATACCTTAGCAAAAAGTGCTCCCTCAAGTCAGCCTCAAGACAGCCAATGGGAATCTCTCTCTTACACCTAGGCAGGAGCTAGACTGAAAACTGAAGAGAACTGGAGATGGTTACCTGGGGAAGGCAGGCTCAAGCTCAGATGTGTCTTCCTCAAGGACAGACTCAGCCCAACCTGCAGGTCGCTCTGTAGAGGACCAGAGAGAAAAAGGTTTTCTCATCCACAGACAGTGAAGCAGGGTCAGAACTTTTCACCCTCAAGTCCCTCTCAGATCCTTGACTGGACTGCTTCAGAAGGATCCAGGAGGAGAAAGGGAAAGAGAAACAGTGAGGAGGAGAAGACGACAAGAAACCACAGTCAAGAACTTCAGAGAGCCAGATGTAGGGCCTCTAACACAGGTACTGTCTTCTGTAGCTTCTTGCTTTTGGTTTTAATTTGATTTAAAACAAAAGAAGTCATGTAGTCAGTCACATGGTACAAAATCAAAAGGTAGCAAAAAATAACAGTGAAGTTTCCCTCCCACTTGCCCTCCTCTACCACTCAATTCCCCTCTCCAGAAGCCACCAATATTACCAAATTCCTGGTATATTCCTTCAAAGACTTTCTATTACATACCATCCATTGTGTATATCTATGTATATATGCATACATGTGTATATATACATACATATTACACATACGTATAAACACACATCACACACACACATATCATACATATAAATGTTAAAAAAGGAAGATACAAATTACCAGTATCAGGAAAGAAAGAAGGGATATTAGAATGGATCCTACTAACATTAACAGGATAACAAGATCAGCAACAACATTGACAAGCCCTTAGCTAGACTGACCAAGAAAACAGAATACTCAAATTACTAAAAGTAGAAATGAAAGAGGGGCCCCCATCACCAACCATATAGAACTAAAAAATAACTATATGTGAATGCTATAAACAACTAGCCACCAACAAATTAGATAACATACAAAATGGAAAAATTCCTAGAAAGACACCAACTATGCAAAATAACTCAAGAAGAAACAGAAAATCTGAATAGGCCTATAACAAATAAAGCAATTAAATCTATAATTTTAAAACATCCCACAAAGAAAACTCCAGGAGGTTCGATGGCTTCACTGGTGAATTCCAGCAAAGAGGAATTCATACAAATCCTTCACAAATGCTTCCAAAAAAAAAAAGGAGGGGACACTTCTCAACTCATTCTATGAGACACTACTCTGACATGAAAACTAGACAAACTATCATAACAAAAACTACAGACCAATATCCCTCATGAATACAGATGTAAAATTCCTCAATAAAGTATCAGTAAACCAAATCCAGCAAAATATGAAATGATGATATACATGATTTATCCTAGGAATGTAAGTATGGTTTAACAACTGAAAATCAAATATGTGATATGGCACAATAGAAAACTTAAGTTTAAAAAAAAAGCCAAATGATCATCTAAACAGACACAGGAAAAACATTTGACAAAATCCAACACCCTTTTATGAGTTAAAAAACACTCAAAAAACTAGGAATGAAGAAAACTTTCTCAACCTGATAAAAAGACTCTATGAAAAACTCACAGCTAGGATCACACTTAATGGTGAACTGAAAGCTTTACCCCTAAGACTGGGAACAAGAAAAGGGTGTCTGTTCTCATCACTTCTATTAGACATTGTACCAAAAGTTTGAGTCAGAGTAATTATGAAAGAAAAATAAATAAAAGGTATCCAGATTGGAGGAAAAGAAATACTATTTCTCTTTGCAAGATGACAAGATCTTATATAGGGAAAATCCTAAGAAATCCACTAAGAAACTATTAGAACTAAGAAATTAGTTCAGCAAAATTGCAGGTACAAGATCAGTGCACAAAACACTTCTATACACTAGCAATGAACAAGCCAAATATGAAATAAAGAAAACAATTGCATCTACAATAGCATCACAAAAATCAGGAAAAATTTAATAAAAAGTGTAGGCACACTAAAAATTACAAAACTTGGAAAGAAAGATCTAAATAAGGAAAACCAGCTCATGTTTCATTGGCCATAAGA